CCGGCTCTAGAGACGAGCAGCTTGCCCAAGGACCTTGCCTCTGGCCTCTCTACCCTAAAGAGATTGAGAGGGGCTAGGCTAGGGCTGGAATACAACATAGTCCGGAATTTGTCACAACCTGATTTAGAAATCCGATCGCCTATCGCTCAACTGACCTCCTCTGCTGGTTCTGATGGCAAAAGTCAAGTCACCTGTGAAGCCCGAGCGCGTCAAGACGGCGAGCGTAAAGAAAGAGCCACAATCTCTGGTTCCCATTCTGAAGGATGGACACGAAAAGCAGCTCACGCAGCGGCAGCTGAATCAGAGAGAATATGAAAAAAATAGGAAGAACAAGGACCGGAGCAGGACTGATTGCGTTTGCGTTAGTTTACTTGATGCCGGGCAGCCGTTTGCACATCTTTGCCAGCTATCAACGTGGCAATTGTCATGTATCATGGGTCTATCTCCAGGAAGAATGTGAAGACCATTGCGGACATGACACTTGTCTGAGTGACAGACGGGATCAAGTCAGTGGGAAGTTTGCGTGGTAAACCTAAACCCTAAACCCCAAACCCTAGACCCTAGACCCTAAACCCTAAACCCTAAACCCTATTCAAGACCTCAAGGGTGTAGGGTTTAGGGTGTCTGATTGAGGCGCGCTGGTGCGAAAAGCACCCAGGCGCATTCCCTGACTTGCTGAGCCCCCACCCCGCTTGTCCTCCACCCTCGACTTGACCTTTGTGACTCTGGGGTTTCCTTGCTTTCTGATCATGGTCATGTATATCATTCTCGGGTGATCCGAAACTACCCCTGAGAAAGGTTTGAGGTTTGCTGTTGCCTGAGTCCTTGCGAAGCCCCTCCTTAGAGGCCTTCCAGGAGAATGCAGGCGCTGCAGGGGATGGGGACTGCAGAGGATTGCAGGGGCCCAGGAAATTGCAGGGGGAAGGGGGACTGCAGGAGGACAGAGGACTGCAGGGACTGCAGGGGACAGGACGGACAGGAGGTGAGAGGGAAGGGAGGGTCAGGGGCTGAGAGCCTGCCGGCTTCGGTGCGTTCGCCTTGCTGGACGGCCCCCGCCCTCATTCACTTTATTTAAGGTTTAGGGTTGAGGGTTTAGGGACAGAGTTTTTTAATTGGTCAAGATTGTGCGAGGCAAAGCCGCCTGGACTCCCTGGAGAGCCTAGGCTGCTACATTACTGTAGCAGCGCAGTACAATGCATGAAGCTTTGGCTCATGGGCAATTGGTGGTTGTGACAACGTGCTTTTTGATTTAAGCAGCTTGAGGCCACGGGTGAAGCAAATCGATGCACTACGAGAGGAAAACAAAATGCTTCGACGAAAGCACACGTGGCAGAATCTGAGTTGAATTGAGCTGAGTAAAACTGTATTCTGCGTAGCGCAAGGGTGTTGTGTCCTAGGCAAGGCGAAACAACCCCATTCTGATCCAAGGGCATCTGTCATTGAGAGGCTGGTTGAGTCGGTCTGCCCAAACGATGAGGCCAAAGCTGCCATGATGGCAAGGATTGGTCAAATGCAGTCCCGGTTCGAGAGCACGGAGGTGGTGGACCTCGTGCCGTTGGCGGAGGTTCTGTAGCCTACAGTACTTATTCCCACGCATGATATGACAGATTTGGCTTCTTAGGTTGTCTGTTTTTTGGGGCAGGGGCCAAACAGTGCTCAGCGCTGTGATTTCCGTTGTGCTGTTGTACTGTTTGTGAGAAGAAGACGACAAGTAGGTTCCGACGCGGCGGTTTCAGGGCTCTAGGTCTACGAGGCTCTGGGGTGCAGTGCAGTACGTGGAGCCGTCGGAAGCTGCCCTGTCAGTCTGACAGAACTCTCGCAGGGCGTGGTCGTCGCAAAAAGGCTGACAAGGGCAGCGCTGCAGCAGTGCCTTGTAGTAGAGAAGTGCATGCCTTAACTGCAGGGGTGTGACTAGCTGCCAGGACAGACATCAAATGTAACTGAACGGTTCCCTTTGTCAATGCCAGGTCGCCAAGTTGAAACCCAACGTCGATGGTGCGCAGGCGCATTCTGAACATGTTCAGATAGGTTCAACTTCCTCCACCCTTCCCTCCACCCTAGAACAACACTTTGTTGAGCATCTAGCTGCAAGTGCCCTCAGAAGCCGCAGTGATGCTCGGTCCGTAGTCAATTGAGAAACACATCCAGGAGTACCCCGCCAGCGAAACAGTTGTCCAAGGAGCTACGCTTCATGCTTTTCGACGCAGTACATCATGTTGGATGTACAAAAAAGCAAAACAGATATGTCAATGGCCATTACGACTGTACTGAGCAGGGCCCCGGCGCTGCAGCCCGGCGTTGGAGCCCGGTGCTGGAGCCTGGCGCCGGGCCCCGGCGCCGGGCCCCGGTGCTGGGCCCCGGCGCTGGGCCCCGGCGCTAGACTCATATAAGATTTGCTTGTGTAAATAGTGAAGGACTTGGATGTGCTTCTTCTGAAAGGATTCTTTTTGATTCTGGACCAGGTATCGGTCATTGCAAGTCAAAAACTATGCTGGGCCCCGGCGCTGGTTGCTGTGTGAAAGCATGCTCTTAAACGAATTCATGTGTAAATGAATTTGTTTGATGTATTACTGGACCAACCGTGGACCAACGCTGGACCTGGGCCCCGGCGCTGGGCCCCGGCGCCGGGCCCCGGCGCCGGGCCCCGGCGCTGGGCCCCGGCGCTGGGCCCCGGCGCTGGACTCATACAGTAAGCTTTTCGTTTGTAAATAGTGAAGGACTTGGATTTGCTTCTTCTGAAACAATTCTTTCTGATTCTAGACCCCAGGCAGAGGTCATTGCAAGTCACAAACTGTGCTGGGCCCCGGCGTTGGTTGCTGTGTTCCAGGGTGCAACAAATTCATGTGTACATGAAGGACTTACATGTATTACTGTACCAACCGTGGACCAACTCTGGACCTGGGCCTGGGCCCCGGCGCTGGGCCCCGGCGCTGGACCCCGGCGCTGGGCCCCGGCGCTGGGCCCCGGCGATAGATTCAGACAGTAAGCCTTAAGGCTTTCTTGTGTAAATAGTGAATATGATGCTGGACCAGCCATAGGTCAATGCAAGTCATATACTGTGCTGGGCCCCGGCGCTGGTTGATGCGTGAAAGGAGGCTATTTAGGTTTCCTGTGCACATGAGGGACTTATAGATGTGCTTCTGGACCAACTGTGGACCTGGGACCCGGCGCTGGGACCCGGCGCTGGGACCCGGCGCTGGGCCCCGTCGCTGGTGGGTGTTCTACAGGAAGATTTTGTTTTTTTCGTAGCAAGAGCGTAATAGTTGTGCTTCTGACCAACTATGGATCAACTAGATGTTAAATTCTTACAAGTCAGACACCGTGCCGGGCCCCCGGTGAATAAAGGCGGAATATGGCAAGCATTTCTTGTGTTTGACTAGATGTGCTTGTAAACCGACTACGAACCAACCCTTTCATGTTGCAAGTCGTAAACCATGATGGGCCCCGGCGCCGGGGCCCTGCGCGGAATATGACACGCATGCAAACATGATTACGATTGTTCCATAGTCGGTCAGAAGCACATTTAAGTCCTTCCTGTAAGGGAAAAGCACACTCCAGGAGTCCAGGGCCGGGGCCCGGCCCTGGGGCCCAGCACGGCATGAGGCCTGCACTGCGATCCAGAAAGCGCATTTAAGGTTTTCATTGACAGCCAAAGTCCACTATATCCTCCTTCCACCCAGCCAGAAGCACCTCCAAGTCCTTGTGTATCCTCCTTTCACCTAACCAGCGCCGGGGCCCAGCGCCGGTTGGTGGGTGCAAGGAGGATATAGTAAGAGCTTCCTATCTAGATGAAGGACTTAGCTATAGATGTGCTTTTTTGGATCACTATGAACGAAGTATATGTCATACATCGTGCTGGGCCCCGGCGCCGGGTGGGCCCCGGGGCTGGGCCCCTGCGCTACCTTCGCTCGAGTGTGATATAGTAAGATTTTCCTCTGGAACCACGAATGACTTATGTGCTTCTGGATCGATTGTGAACGAACTTTACTTAAAAGCTGCACTGGGCCACGGTGCCGGGCCCCGACGCTGGGCCTCGGTGCTGGGTTGTGGGTGAAAGGTATAATAAGTCTATTACCAAAAACATACTGTAACTTTTGCAGTCCCTGTATGAGTAGAATATACGACCCAAAAATGCAATAGGGCCCTTGAGCCCACAGGACCTGAGGTTGGGGTTTTTGAGGGTTTGTTTGTTGCTCACACAAAAGCTCTAAACAGGTTGCCGCAGAGTCTTGTAAGAGGCTATGTAAGCGGAGCCTACAAAACAAGCAGGTTTCGGTTTCTTGTGGTCGGCCCTATAGCAGAAGCTGAACCCCAAAAACCAAAAGCATGTGCTCCCGCTATGTGGGTGGGTCGTTTTCGCTCGAGATATTTGCGAAATCAAGCCCCGAACCCGAAACCGCGCAAACCCTACTGACCCCTACTCTCCCCCCAGGTACTAGGCCACTCTTGCAAATTCTCCTTTGTCAATACGCTAAATGAATATTCACTGCCCTATACGCAACACAGTACACCCTATACCCTAAACCGTTTTTAAACCCTATTTCAAGACCCTTTTTCAATACCCTATATTTAATATTTCACACCTTAACCGTAAACCCTAAACCCGAACGGAGGCCGCGGTTCACTTGCAGCCCTTCGCCTTCATCGCCTTCATCGTGGATCCAGCGGCTCGGGCTGGATTGGTAAACGGGAGGGGGGGTTAAAGGGTTTGGAGTTTAGGGGCTATAGGATTTTGGAAAGAGTGTTCAAGGCTGGGAGTTTGGGCTTGCGCTGGCTTATAGGCTGTTTTCAAGGTCGAGAGGGATGATGGAATAGGTTGAAGTTTGGTGAGCGACCGTCGCGTCACATTTGTGCATGGACCGATTGCAGACTCGCTGCAGGCTGAGCCCTGAAGCCTTGCCTGACATGTAATCGTGTGTGCTGGCTTCTGATCACACCCTCTGAAGTTTTTTGGCTTGGGCGTCTCAGGTGTGACTGAAATCGTTGTACCTTGTGCTGACATGCCGCCCATGCAAACGGGAAAGGTGGAGTTTCCCGAGGACTGGCGTCCCACGTTCGAGATGTGCAGGAACGGGACGCGTCTCGTGATAGGCGGCTTGTCAGTTTTTGATGGGTTGCCGCGACCAACTCGCAGAATCAGTGAGGCTTTGCGTGCCAAGGGCCTACCCACAGGGTCCATGGACATTCGCAATGACACGGATGACCCAGACTCAGAGAATGTCCTCGAGGTCACTGGTCAAAATATGTTTCTCGAGCATCTCGCAGCCTTGCAGAAAGACTCTCTCCTTTGGCTTGCTCCACCGTGCAAAAGTTGGGGGTTTCTGCCCAGATCGGTGTCGGGCCGTAGCAAAAGTAAGCCTCACGGCGTCAATACAGCCTGGGTCTACCAGGGCAACGAACAGGCGAACTTCGTTGAGCGAGCGCTGTTGGCAGCCACATGTGAAGGCTGGAGCCTACTGCAGTATTTGTCAAGGTCGACAAAAGACAACAGGTAAGTACACGCTATCTGTAGTGACGCGTTGTAGGGTTTTGTGCACAGAGACAGTATGCACAAGAGCTGGATTAGCTGATCGACAAGGATTCAAGACAGCTACGTTGGTTCCTGCAACTGCCCTGAAGGTATCTGGATCATTCTCGAGCAGCCCACAGGGTCCATGTTGTTCCACGAGCCCGGCGTGAAAGCTGCCTTGACGCAGATTCGAGCCCGAGCTGTGACCGTTCATTTGGGATGCTTTGATGCTCCCAGCCTAAAGCCCCTGACGCTTTACGGAACTGCCCCTTGGCTGGAAGAGCTTGAGTCCATCTCCAAGAAGCGCAAGGTCAGCGGTTACGCTGAGGGTTTGTCTCCTTTGTGCACCTACGATCAGGATGGCCGTGCAACCGGAGGCGCCTCTGTCACAGATTCTGAGGCATACCCGGAGCAGTTTTGTGATTCTCGGCAGGTCCATTAGCATCCGACATTTGGTAAATGAGTCAGGAAATATACTAAAACTGACGAACTGACTGGCGCAATCGCCGGGCACGACGAGCTGAGGACGCAGTGGCCATCCTTCACAAGACCTACCTTGATCGGCTCCAGTAAGTTGCAAAGCTTTCTGGAGCCTTCTTACATGCGATCGATCCAATTGGGGTCCCAACTTTAACCTCCGGCCCACGCCACTTGTGCAGCTAGTAGGGATTTAGGGGCTGGCTCTGATGGGCCTAGCCCGGCGGGGCACCACCAAGTGGTTTGGGTAGGCAGGTTAGACAGCTGCTCGCAAACGACTTCCCTCGTCTTCGGCGGCAAAATTGATGCAGCAAGCACGGCCTCTCATTGTAGCAACTAAAACTCCCCTGGAAGTTTTCCAGACCAGCAAGATGAGGGTTTTGAGGGTTTACTTAAGGGTATAGGGTTTAGGGAGCGAGGGTCAACCCCAGACGACTGTTATCCAGGCTTTGGCGGCGGACTCTACCTCATGGGAGCCGCAGGAAATCTGACCTGTGTTGAGAGTAATATGCTGTGTCTTTCCTCCAGTGCTTTTCTTCTTCAGTGTAGCATGAGGGACGAGGGTTCAGTGGGTTTCGGGACGAGGGCTTTCAACTTTAGGGTTGAGGGTTTACGGTTGAGAGGGTTTCGGGACGAGCGCTTTCAACTTTGGAGTTGAGGGTTTAGGGTTGATAGGGTTTCGGGGCGAGGGCTTTCAACTTTAGGGTTAGCCAAAGAAGCTCATCGTGGAGTTTTTAGATGGGGGCACACGAACATGAAAGGGAGCAGTGAGGTGCGCATAGACGTAGCTGCTTGGAAACCTGCGGTGGAGCCGTCCCCTGCGCACACAGGTGCCGGCCGCGGTGTAGCCCTAGTGAAGGCAAGCCGGCTGGATGTCTGAAAGTCATTTTGCAAGTTGAGGTTTCAGGGTTAGGGGTTGATCTTCGGGTCCCCAGAACAGTCCCAAAGTCCATACATCCGAACAACGTGTAGGCGTAGGGGGTTTAAGGTCAGTCACGAGGCCTATGTGCTATTTCACCAAAGATGCCAGAGTCTTGTCAAGAAGGACCCCTTCTGTCCCCAATGTCCGGAAGCTCCCAGATGGTGGTTCCCGAAATTCGGGTACCTTATTGAATTATTGGGGTTTGTATTATAAGGGAATCCTACAATTCAGGGTCAATGTTAAGGGTACCCTAATTTCGTAAAGCCTAAACCCCCCAAACCCTAAACCCTAAACCCTAAACCCTAAACCCTAAACCCTAAACCCTAAACCCTAAACCCTAAACCCTAAACCCTAACCCCTAAGCCCTAAACCCTAAACCCTAAACCCTAAACCCTAAACCCTAAACCCTAAACCCTAACCCTAAACCCTAAACCCTAAACCCTAAGCGCTTTCAACTTTAGGGTTGAGGGCTTAGGGTTGAGAGGGTTTCGGGGCGAGTGCTTTGAACTTTAGGGTTGAGGGCTTAGGGTTGAGTGGGTTTCGGGACGAGCGCTCTCAACTTTAGGGTGGAGGGTTTAGGGTTGATAGGGTTTCGGGACGAGCGCTTTCAACGTTGGAGTTGAGGGTTTAGGGTTGATAGGGTTTCGGGGCGAGGGCTTTCAACTTTCGGGTTGAGGGCTTAGGGTTGATAGGGTTTCGGGGCGAGGGCTTTCAACTTTAGGGTTGAGAGGGTTTCGGGGCGAGGGCTTTCAACTTTAGGGTTCAGGGCTTAGGGTTGAGAGGGTTTCGGGACGAGGGCTTTCAACTTTAGGGTTGAGGGTTTAGGGTTGAGTGGGTTTCGGGACGAGGGCTTTCAACTTTAGGGTTGAGGGTTTGCGGTTGAGAGGGTTTCGGGACGAGGGCTTTCAACTTTGGAGTTGAGGGTTTAGGGTTGATAGGCTTTCGGGGCGAGGGCTTTCAACTTTAGGGTTGTGAGGTGCGCATAGACGTAGCTGCTTGGAAACCTGCGGTGGAGCCGTCCCCTGCGCACACAGGTGCCCTAAACCCTAAACCCTAAACCCTAAACCCTAAACCCTAAACCCTAAACCCTAAACCCTAAACCCTAAACCCTAAACCCTAAACCCTAAGCGCTTTCAACTTTAGGGTTGAGGGCTTAGGGTTGAGAGGGTTTCGGGGCGAGTGCTTTGAACTTTAGGGTTGAGGGCTTAGGGTTGAGTGGGTTTCGGGACGAGCGCTCTCAACTTTAGGGTGGAGGGTTTAGGGTTGATAGGGTTTCGGGGCGAGGGCTTTCAACTTTCGGGTTGAGGGCTTAGGGTTGATAGGGTTTCGGGGCGAGGGCTTTCAACTTTAGGGTTCAGGGCTTAGGGTTGAGAGGGTTTCGGGACGAGGGCTTTCAACTTTAGGGTTGAGGGTTTAGGGTTGAGAGGGTTTCGACGAGGGCTTTCAACTTTAGGTTGAGGGTTTAGGGTTGAGTGGGTTTCGGGACGAGGGCTTTCAACTTTAGGGTTGAGGGTTTACGGTTGAGAGGGTTTCGGGACGAGCGCTTTCAACTTTGGAGTTGAGGGTTTAGGGTTGATAGGCTTTCGGGGCGAGGGCTTTCAACTTTAGGGTTGTGAGGTGCGCATAGACGTAGCTGCTTGGAAACCTGCGGTGGAGCCGTCCCCTGCGCACACAGGTGCCGGCCGCGGTGTAGCCCTAGCGAAGGCAAGCCGGCTGGATGTCTGAAAGTCATTTTGCAAGTTGAGGTTTCAGGGTTAGGGGTTGATCTTCGGGTCCCCAGAACAGTCCCAAAGTCCATACATCCGAACAACGTGTAGGCGGAAGGGGTTTAAGGTCAGTCACGAGGCCTATGTGTTACTTCACCAAAGATGCCAGAGTCTTGTCAAGAAGGACCCCTTCTGTCCCCAATGTCCGGAAGCTCCCAGATGGTGGTTCCCGAAATTCGGGTACCTTATTGAATTATTGGGGTTTGTATTATAAGGGATTCCTACAATTCAGGGTCAATGTTAAGGGTACCCTAATCTCGTAAAGCCTAAACCCCCCTAAGCCCTAAACCCTAAACCCTAAACCCTAAACCCTAAACCTTAAACCCTAAACCCTAAACCCTAAACCCTAAACCCTAAACCCTAAACCCTAAACCCTAAACCCTAAACCCTAAACCCTAAACCTACACCGCTATAAGCAAGCCCGAACTCAGACTCTTGCCCAAACTCCAGGAGAATACTCACTGGGAGTCCTTTCTGCTCACGGAGGCGGAGGCCTCCATCCTCCATATCCCCTTCAGGGTGCAGGAGTTAGGACATGATTGGTATTTTGGGTATTTTGGGTTTATGTTGAGGGGTTTAGTTGTTTATGGATGTGGGTGTGTGTGCGAAATGAGGGGGTAGCTTATGTATTTAGCTGTTCTGGGTTGTAAGTTTCAGTGGGTCTAAGGTCTAGGGTTTAGAGCTGTTTAGACACCGTAGAGGGGGCTCAAATTTTGGGGTTTACTTGTTTAGGGTTTGAGGTATTTGAGGGTTTAGGGTTGAGAGGGTTTCGGGGCGAGGGCTTTCAACTTGAGGGTTGAGGGTTTAGGGCTGAGAGGGTTTCGGGACGAGGGCTTGCAACTTTAGGGTTGAGGGTCTACGGTTGAGAGGGTTTCGGGACGACGGCTTTCAAGTTTAGGGTTGAGGGTTTAGGGTTTCGGGACGAGCGCTTTCAACTTTAGGGTTGAGGGCTTAGGGTTGAGAGTGTTTCGGAACGAGCCCTTTCAACTTTGAGGGCTTAGGGCTTTCAACTTTGATCCCAGAAAGGTCCGAGTGAAATGCTGTAGGGCCTTTAGGCTGGGATGCGTTAGGAAGGCGCAGGCTGGGCCTTCGCAGAGGCGTCTTGTGGCCTTCGTAAAGGGTTTCTGTGGCCTTCGTAAAGGGGTTCCGTGGCCTTCGCGCTAGGGGTTGCTGGCCTTCGTGAAGGGGGCTTCGTCGAAGCTTTGGCTGGGGGGGTTTTACTTGTCTGGAAGAGGAGAAGGGCCTTCGTAGAGGCCTCCCGGCCCCTTCGCAGTGGCCTTCGTGCAAGGCTGGCCCGAGCTTCGTCTGGGTCCGGGCATGCAGCCTTCGTCGAGGCCTTCGCTTCAGAGTCGTTGTAGACCTACGTTATATCAGGTCCTATGTATCACATCATATCCTGTGTGTTCATATCATTTCATATAAATAGTTCAGCAGAGATTTTTAGAATATAACATATTGCAAGAAACAATGAAATCTCAAATAATAGCATAGTATGTTAATGATGTGGCTTCATCATACATGCTATGGCATGGTATTAGATATTGTCTGATCGATCCTTGGACGTGTCGCTCAAGAGTGTTTCACAACCCAGGAGCCAAACGGGATGATGACAGTCGTAAGCCCGAAACCCGAAAGCAAACCCTGACATTTGAAGTGCTCCCACTAAAGAAGGGCCACACAGGAGCCTCAGTTCTTTTCTGGTGTCCGGAAAGTCTGGCATCCATGGCAGAGGATCTCCGCCCTCCAGATCCGCGGCAGAACCCAGAATGTCATGAGGTGAACCACAAGGAAGTTTTCGAGCTGAGGCAGGTCAGAGATATGTATGTCCTACGCAACGTGCAGACCAACGAGGCGCATAGTTTCAGCTTCAAGGTGCGCCTGCATTTTCGCGAAGAGCGTGCATACATCAGCGACTCTTTGCGCCAGACAACCTGGTGCAGCCAGCTCATGTGCTGGTCTGTCTGGGCCGGCGGCGACTCGCTGCAGGGCCGTCGCTTCGTCTGCAGATTGCACAGCGACGCTGAGCTGGAGAGATGCTGGCTCTCTGACTTCCAGATGCAGAAAAAACTTTTCTACATCGACAAGGCAGGGTTTAGGGTTTAGGGTTGAGGGTTGATGATTGAGGGTTTAGTGTTTAGGGGTTTTTTGTCGAAGACTTGCAGATAAGTTCAGTAGTGACATGGCTGCCTGTCAGGTTCTGGCAGGTTGGACAGAAGGTTCCTTCATGCAAGCCGTGGCCTTGCAATTCACGGCACCTTACGGAGACACAGGGCAGCAAGCGTACTGGGCACTGGAACCGTGGCTCCCTCCCGCAAGCAAAGCGAAGGCCCGAGATCCAGTGAAACACATTGCGAAGAAGCTTAAAGGTTCGTGGACGGCCCTTTTCGAGCGCCATTGCTGCAGCGTGAAGAACCATGTGATTTGGCCGGAGCGAGCCCGTGGCGACAAGGAAGGTCCATGCCGTATGCATATCCTTTTTGTTAGCAGCAAGTTCCTGCTGACGTTCCTCCTGAACCAGGCCTTGAAAGGCGATTTTCAGGACAGTGCACGGCGCATGCTCGCGGGTTTCTTGAAGGAATTTGCCGGAGGGCGTTTTAACCTGATCCTGGATGCCAGCGTCTCTGATCCGCAGCAAGTGTCTGCCATTGAGCGAGGCCAGAAAGTGCCTGTGGTGGATGGACGAGTGGACTTGAGCAGCTTCTTTTCCGACAACGATGCTGTAGCAGATCGCATGGCTGCGGAAACTGGCAACAGGCAGGCTTTGTTGTGTTGTGAAATTTTCAGAGGGGGGTTTTTATTTGATTCATGCGTACTGAATGCCGAGCTGTGTCCTGGACGGGTGGTGCTTGGCTGAGCCGCGTAGTAGGTATGGGTGGAGAGACCGTGCGTTTTAGAAGATTCCCGCGTCAGGCGCAAACAGATGCTGCCACCGAAGTTGCGAGAGGAGCTGCCCCTTTGGCAGGTCTTGCTTGAGCTCCACAGAGTACAGCATTTTCATTGGTTAGAGCATCAGATATGTGAGTCTATCTGCAAGCAAATCAACTGGGAGCTCTGCGTCAGAAAGCTCCCCACAGAGCCGGCTGCTTCCCTTGATTTTACAGACAGGCGTTCGAAAGATCCCGTGGCACGTGCCACCTTGTCACGTGCCTGAAGAGAGCTTGGGCTGCGAGACAAGCATGCAGAAAGAAAGGAGACAAACATGCTGCAAGGCAGGCGGAGGCGAAGGAGGGTGTTAACGTCGTGCGTCGACGCACTCGTGATTTGCGAGTGGCGGCCCAAGCAAGCAAGTTGTGGCTGAGTTCCCAAGATAAGAGGAAGGAGCGGAGCCAGTATCTTTTGTCGACCCGGGCTCACTTCCGGGGTTCGAAGCGGGTGGCAGTGGCTTTGGACGCCACCCGAGCTGGGGGGCGTAAGAGATCCCACTATGCCCTCATGGACCTGGACACAGGCATCACGGCCTGGTGCCCACCTCAGGCCCGACGCCTAATACGGCTGAGCAGTTCGTTGAAGGTTCGTAGTTGTTGTCGTTAGCCCAGAGGTTCCTGGAATGCCTGGTTTAGGGCTTAGGCTTCAGGGTTTCGGGCTCGGGGTTAGGAGAATAAGTCTTCCACAGGACACAAGGTCTTCGCGGACTACCAGTTGCTGGCAACCTGTCCTCTTTTGACTGCAATTGCAAATGGAGGGGAGCTCTTCTCGCAAACGCGTCAGGAGTGGGGGTCGGGGGTGGGGGTGGATGGGGGTGTGTGGGGGGGGGTGGGGGTCCGGGGGGGGTGCGCGGGTTGGAGGGGGATGTGGGGGCGCTTTGGGAGGGGTGTGGGGGGGGGGGGGGGATGCGCTTAGCGACCTATGACCTGAGGTTTTCAAGGACGGTTTATTGCAAGCAACTTGGTCGCGTGATATCCTTCCTGATACTCCGTGAAGAGTGCTTGGGGCCTTTTTGTTAAGAAACACCGTTTACTGACCTATGAGCTGAGGTTCTTATTAAGCGGGGGGCCTTACCCATTGTCCCATTCTCTACCACTCTACCCATTTGGCGATGGCTAACCTGACACGTAAGCATTTGTAATCCTCTACCCAAGATACAACTAACGTACGAAATGAACAAAATAAGTTGTCAGAGGCCACCCCTTAAACAGGTACCTTAATTGCAGAGCTGAGCATGAGCCGGTGTCCTTCAGGTCCATCAGGACAGTGAACACCGCCTTCCAGGTGAGGAAGTTGGTTCTGGCGAGACTCACTTATTGGACGAGGCTGGAGTGGCCTTCCTGAGATTCTGGGCTTATTAGTCCGGGGTTAGTTGTTGCTTTTCCTTCGGCGTGAAATCCGTGCAAAGGTCATTTCACTTGGCCAGCATTTCGGGAGTCAGTTTGAGTATGCTGCTTCTCTGACCAAGGAGCACAAGGGAAGCGAGACAAGGAACTGCTGAAATCCAACCCTCTGGTTCAAAAAAGCGTGAACCGACTACCGTCCTACGGGAATCTTTTGTCCCTCGACCACACCCTGCAAGCAGTGTTGAACGATGGCCTCAAGCTTTTCACACCGGACGAGGAGAAGGACGACGCGCGTCCGTTGCTAGATTTGCCAGCCCTGGTGTTGCAGTCAGATCAGGGATCTGACATGGTGGCGCCTGTTTACTTTGCTCTGCATCACTTGAAGCTCCGTCTGGCTTTCATTCCGGACGTACGCCATCAGCTTGTTCGTGTCATGGCGAACGCGTGCAAGGCCGCCAAGCTGCAGGTACAGGTGGCCCTTTCGGACATCATTTTGACCGTGCTGCAGGGCCCTTGGTCCGACCACAAGTGGTGGCAGGTCGTTCGTGAACAGACCGAGGAGTACCTCAAGATGGCCCGCATGGATGGCGACCCGTGCCACGCGTTGCTGCGGAAACTGATGCCTGCCATTGGACGTGAGCAAGGCTTGGGCCGCATGGACGTCCACGTCCAGAACGTTCATGAGTCCTTGGCGGATGCCACTTTCCTGGTCCGCAAAGGAGTGAATAATACCAGTCGTTGGGACTCCTTCCATGGCGGCTTCCAGGAACGGAAGTCCGAATTCTCGCTGCTCCTCTTGATTCTTCTTGTGTACGGCCTTCGGTTGGGCTATGTGAAATCGGATACCCTGAGTGACTTGACACCGCTGGCAAAGACAGCAAATGCCAGCGCTCAGGATGATGTGCCTTTGCGGAACGCGAACGCAGAGAAGCAGAACATCAAAAATGCTCTTTACGCTAGATGTCGCAACAAATTGCATGTGGCAACCGTGATCCTCGCAAATTCTCAAGTCATGAGCGATTTGCACCTTTGGTATTGGGCCTCCAGCCCAGTCAGAAATGCTTTGAACCGGTGTCGCAAGGACATCAAGGGTCGTGCCCACACATTGGATCACTTGATGAACCTGGCAACTGGAGGGGGCCTTCGCATCATCAACGAGCTCGCAGATGTCTGTCACAACGCAGAGGCGCTGCGTGATGTAGGTATCCTGCAGCAGGATGATCTGGCGGGCGTCGCTCGGTACACCTGTCCTGGGGAGAACTTCGAGGTTCGTCGTCAGGATGACATCATGGAACGCATGCTTTGGACAGTGCTGTGCTTGGTGCACCACATGATGCTTGATCTGGGGCATCACATGTTTGGGTGGCCTTTGAGGTTTGCTGCTCTTCTGGACCCGGCTCATGAGGCCGAATGCCTTCAGGAGATGAAGGATGTCTGGGCGGCTTGGGAAGATGCCCAAAAGATGCCGGGACAGGCGTGGACCGCCATTCGCAAACGATCGCTGCTGGGAACGACATTCTGCAGGGATGTCTTTTTCAGGGTCCAGCGAGACGGATGGATTCTGACAAGTGAGACAAGACAATTCCTCCAACAGTGCCTTTCTTGTTGGGGGTCGACCTACAACGAGGAGGCCTTCGGGGAGCTGAGGCAGCTGGAGCAGAGAGAGGGCAAGGTTCACCACATGAGCCACGCAGAGGTTTGGTCATCGGCCTCTGCAGGTCAGGTCATGACCCGGTTCGGGTACCGGGAAGTGGTAGGAGATGCATCTGTATTGGCACCTGATCTGCCAGATGGCCTTTTTCACACGAGGGCCAAGACAGCGAGCATCCCGAAGATTCGTGACATCACAGGTCGGGCCACATGGCCATCGTTAAAGCCATTGGACGCAGCACGCCTACCAGCAGAAGTTCAATCCATGCGAATTCTGCACGCAAGCAAGAGAATGCAAGATGTCACGATGACCTGGAGAACAAGTTTTCTCTGTCGCGGGATGGTCCTCCGACAAACCAGCAAAAAGAAGGACTACAAGCTGTGCACCGGAGTGTGGCCCCATGGTGCAAGTGCCCTCTTGCTTCCTTTGGAACGCTACGAGCTGAAGAAAGGGACCTTTGCCTTCAGAATCCAAAAGCCACTGTCTCGGGACAAGCTGTCGTGGGGACACGTGTTCCAGTTTGCAGACTGGGAAGTGATGAGGGCCAGAGTGGTGAGCCCATTGCATCTCGGCCACGCTTGTTCATCCAAGGGCGCTTTCTCGGTTCCATTTGGAGAGGGCCCATGGATAGAAGAAGACAAGACTGGCGTTCCACTGCTAAAATACTGTGCAATGAACGGGTTCTTCGACACTGACGCGAAGTCTTTGGAGCTGCTTTTGGAGGCAGGCACAGGTTAACCCCAGCCCTTATCCCTCCCGATTTTAAGAATTGCTTTTTCCGTAGGTTTTTTAGGTCTAGGGCTTAGGGTTGAGGGTTTAGGGTGGAGGGCTCAGTTTAGCCTTAGTGCCGGGTGGGTCATTTGCGGGACGTGTCAGATGGAGTACGACAAGCAGGTGGATCCCGTGAAGGAGGAAGACTTCCTGCCACATGTACTTGCTCCATGCATTTCGGAGACGCTGTCGTGCGACTCAGAGGCCGCAGCAGCAATCATGGAGGACAATTTGCATTGGCGTCACGACATGGGTGCCGAGGACGAGGAGTTGCTGCGCATTTTGCAGTCAGCAGAAATTCAAGATCAGTTGAAGAAAGACGATGCCCAGACGATGGAGGAAACGCTGAAGGACAATGACAAACGCAATCGGCAGAAACAGGCAATGATGAACAAAATCCGGACACTGAGGGCCAAGGAGACTGGCCAGCAGGGTTGCGCGAAAAGGAAGCCAGTAGCTTTTGAGCCTGACCGAACGTACACAACAGCACAGGTCAACGCACTCCTGCCTGATGTGTACCGAAGCCAAAAGGACACATTCAATGCTTGCTGGAGAATATGGGCGAGGAAAGGCAAGTGGAGCGCAAGCAGAAGCTGGGGTGAAGAGGGTTGCGAAGCGAAGTGCGTTCACAAGCTGGGAAGAATTGTTTGGGCCCGCCACTGTGAGCTCCACCCCAATGCAAGCTGCCCCTTCGTGTTTGAATTCGGGGAAGACCCTGAAACGGAGGCAGCCTCGAAGCCGAAAGCCGGCAAAATGCCGAAGGCATCAGCAGGCAAGGCTAGCGTCAGCTCCAGCAGTGTCGGCAATAGTAAGTGACTTGTGGTCGTGTCGTTGCGGCGCCGCGCCAGTCGGAGGCTTGCGGGATTCAAGTTCGTTAATAGTTAAGTTTCACTAGCTTAATAGTTTTGGCCAAGGGTTCGGGAAAATCGGGCCTCCGGTCCAGTGCGCAGAGAGTTTTTCAATGAATTGAGTGAAGCTGTAGCAGGCAGTGACAGGTGCGGGAGTCGTGCTGCAAAGAGTTCAGTTTGTGCATCAGTGTCCATCATCCGTCTGCTGTGGCCTGTTGAGCAGTCGTCAGCACGCGGTTCGGTGTGATTTCATGTTCATTTACATGGTTCGTGTTGTCGCAGCCCGAACCGACATGACGGACCTCGGGTCCAAAATCCGCCCCTGCCAAAACGCACGTGCAGGTACTTCACAGCGGGTCCCGTCCACAGCGGGGGTTGAGGGTTTAGGGTTGAGAGGGTTTCGGGACGAGCCCTTTCAACTTTGGGATTGAGGGTTTAGGGTTTCGGGACGAGGGCTTTCAGCTTTAGGGTTGAGGGTTTATAGGGTTGAGAGGGTTTCGGGACGAGCCCTTTCAACTTTAGGGTTGAGGGTTTAGGGTTTCGGGACGAGGGCTTTCAACTTTGGTGTTGAGGGTTCAGGGTTGAGAGGGTTTCGGGACCAGGGCTTTCAACTTTAGGGTTGAAGGCGAGAGGCTTTCGGGACGAGGGCTTTCAGCTTTGTTGTTGAGGGTTCAGGGTTGAGAGGGTTTCGGGACTGCAGGCTGAGGAGGGGAGCGGTTGCGGTTTTACTGTCGGGTTTCGGCTGTGATTTTTTTGTGCGTCGAAAGCGTAGATAAACCTTGGGGTCCGGCCCTGCGGGCTTGTGGATTTTTTGTGTTAGACCCACTACACGGTCCTTTAGGGTATTTAGGGTTTAATAGTTTAGGGTTTTGGGTTTGCAGTTTAGGGTTTAGGGTTAGGGTCAGCATAGAGGGTCTAGGACTTCTAGAGTTTAAGGTTTACGCCCAAGCTTTCAGCGGCAGATCTTTGAAGACGTCTCTTGTGGCCTCGGATCCGCCTCGTGCAGTGAAGATCAGCAGAATCAGTGGTCAGGTCCTGTATGACATTCACGCAAGGCGGTGTGGCCCAAAACTGTTTAGCGTGCAGCGTCCTTGACTCAACCTGTGTGCAGCGCAGCCATGGGCAAGCGTGGTGTTAAGAAGAGTCAGCAGCAGAAGAGCCAGAATGTGAGAAAGGACTTGCAGAGGATGGCCGACGCAGGCGTGAAGAAGACCGAGAAGGATAACATCGATTCCTTGACTGCGTGGCTGGCTGAGCACCCGCGAGCATGCGCACACCTCGTGCAAAGCTGCATCATGCACAAGAGCTTCGACCATCTCGACGGGCCGGATCAGAAGCAGTCAGACACCGAAGACGAGAAGCTGCCGGAGTGGCAGAACAAACTCCGGCTTCTCAACTCCAAATTCACCTTGAGAATGCTGCAGGAGATGCTCCCGCTGATGGCCGAGTGGCTTGGGGAGGTGATGCAGAACACCAGGGTCAAGGTGAAGAAGGAGGTGCCGAATGAGTTGCTGGCATTCATCGTGAATGCCGACGTTACCTCTGCGGTGCCAAGCAAGAAGGTGTCTGAGCTCAAAGCCTGGCTACTGGATGCCCACAAGAAGAATGGCTGCCGCATGAGCAAGTTCGAGCCGCCTGAGGCATGCCAGTCGCTCGAGGACTATCATCAAAAAACAGTCTTTGAGTTGTTCAAGTTTAGGGCCTAGGATTTTGGGCTTAATCTTCCAACGCTTACCGTATTGAAATCGTTAGTATATTCCCAGAACCTAATAGCTACCCACTGAGGCCCAGCCAGGAACCGAATAACCTATTGGTCTGAACGATTGTTGTTTAAGAAGTCGTTCTGAATTTGTGTTTGGATTTCCCTGGGACGTTCAGGTGCGAGTGCAAGTTTTCTAGCATCCCAACTCAAGAATCGAAAGAAGTGGCCAGGTTCTTCATTTTGAAATAGGTGTGGCGTTTTGTGAGTTTTTTTCGTCATGCAGTGCAGGACATCTGGAAGTACACCGGTGGCTTCTGGACGCTGGTGGGTGAGGGCAGTGCCGACACGCGCGTGGTGAAGCATGTCTCCGGCGTGGAGCTGCCCGTGCCGCCGGAGGTTCCGCTTGAGGCTACGCTGGTCAATCCTCAGAGCTTTCATCGCTGCAGCTTGGAGACAAAATCGGGCCTGGTTGTGGTGCCGGTGGTCAACTTGTTGAAGGCCAACCCGGCGAAAGCCAAGCAGATCAAGGCGCCCTTCTTTGCCGATGCGGTGCAGAATCAGCAGCAGATGACCCGCAAGACGAAGAAGAGCCCGAAGAAGAAGATCCGTCCAGCCGGGGAAGAGGCAGAGGAGATCTCGAAGAGCCCCGTGCTTGTGACCCCGAGGAGGCGCAAGCTTCGCAAAACGTCGTCCGATGCATCGATTACCACCAGTGCCCAGACACCGCCGGCGCCGCCAGGCGCTGGGTCCGCAATGTGAGTGCAGCGTCAGAGATCAGATAGGTCACTTTGACTTTGCAAATCCGGAGTGCTCACTCTCGAGCTGAATAGAGTCTATGGCATAGAGATCAAGCAGATACAGGAACACACGGCCATGCTGAGCACTTATGCAGGCCTTCGGGCTGGGGGGTGTCACTTTGACCTTCCCCGTTTTGAGCCCGGCCTCTAGGACTCGAAGCAGAGATTGCCAGCCGTCGGCAAAAGCCAACATTTTAGCACTTGCACGTGTCGCTGCATGCCCTGATGGTCAGAATGATGCAAACCTGACAGCAAAACCAACATGAAAACTCAAGATGAGTAAGATTGGCAGCGGCTCTCTCGAGGTGGCTTCCGGGCGAGCGATGGTCGGCTGCTTGAAGGCGTCGCGGGTTTAGGGTTGGGGTTCAAGTTCTTAAACCCTAGACCTAGACACCACCCGGCCTAGTATCGCTAGTAACCCTAAGCCCTAACCCTCGGCCCCAGACCCCTTTATAGGGTCCTAGTATCGCTGGTAAAACCTAGACCCCTTCAGAAGTTAGGGGCCTCATATCGCTAGTAACCCTAAACCCTAAACCTGGACCCCAGACACCATTAGGGGCCTCGTATCGCTAGTAATACCTAGTAGACGCCAGACCTTTTGCCACAAGTGGCGGCTATTTGCTTTCTTTCGCACCATGGTGCATGGTTACGAGGCCCCTCAGTCTCGGCTTAGGGTTGAGAGAGTTTCGGGACGAGGGCTTTCAACTTTAGGGTTGAGGGTTAGGGTTGAAAGGGTTTCGGGACGAGCGCTTTCAACTTGAGGGTTGAGGGTTTAGGGCTGAAAGGGTTTCGGGACGAGCCCTTTCAACTTTGGGATTGAGGGCTTAGGGTGGAAAGGGTTTCGGGACGAGCGCTTTCAACTTGAGGGTTGAGGGTTTCGGGCTGAAAGGGTTTCGGGACGAGCCCTTTCAACTTTGGGATTGAGGGCTTAGGGTTGAAAGGGTTTCGGGACGAGCGCTTTCAACTTGAGGGTTGAGGGTTTAGGGCTGAAAGGGTTTCGGGACGAGCCCTTTCAACTTTGGGATTGAGGGCTTAGGGTGGAAAGGGTTTCGGGACGAGCGCTTTCAACTTGAGGGTTGAGGGTTTAGGGCTGAAAGGGTTTCGGGACGAGCCCTTTCAACTTTGGGATTGAGGGCTTAGGGTTGAAAGGGTTTCGGGACGAGCGCTTTCAACTTGAGGGTTGAGGGTTTAGGGCTGAAAGGGTTTCGGGACGAGCCCTTTCAACTTTGGGATTGAGGGCTTAGGGTGGAAAGGGTTTCGGGACGAGCGCTTTCAACTTGAGGGTTGAGGGTTTCGGGCTGAAAGGGTTTCGGGACGAGCCCTTTCAACTTTGGGATTGAGGGCTTAGGGTTGAAAGGGTTTCGGGACGAGCGCTTTCAACTTGAGGGTTGAGGGTTTAGGGCTGAAAGGGTTTCGGGACGAGCCCTTTCAACTTTGGGATTGAGGGCTTAGGGTTGAAAGGGTTTCGGGACGAGCGCTTTCAACTTGAGGGTTGAGGGTTTAGGGCTGAAAGGGTTTCGGGACGAGCCCTTTCAACTTTGGGATTGAGGGCTTAGGGTTGAAAGGGTCTCGGGGCGGGGCTTTGAACTTTGAGGGCTTAGGGTTGAGAGGGTTTCGGGTTATAGGCTGCGGGTTTACACTTCGCTGCCCCGAAATGTTCTGAAGCAATCCGAAATTATGGGTCGCTTCCAGGGGTTTCTCCGGGAACCGTGTATGGGCAAACTACCCGTTTGGAAACAGTTGGAAACCGCAACGTTCAAGGCTGCGATTGTAAACTCCCAGTCTCAGAGAAATGCAGTTTCGCGGGGCTTAGTCTTTCCAAGCTCCACTTCAGCTGGTAGAATTGATTTAGAGAGGGTTTGCGGCTGAGGGCGGTGGATCCGTTTGGAAGGCATTGGGCCCCAGCCCCATATTTAGGGTTCAGGGTTTAGGGTTTTCGTTTTTGGGTTTAGGGTTTAGGGCTTAGAAGTGTCTAGGGCTTCGGGTAGAGGAAGACAGTTTGGTAGCTCAGATCTAATCTTGGCTGCTGTGCTCAGCCGTAACAATGGCTACTTGACCCCCCCCTAACCCGCCCGCAAACCTTTAAGAAACCTAACCCTAAACCCCAAACCCTGAGCCACTTCGACCCGTGGATGCCTTTGCCAGGTCAGGTCTGCAGTCGGGATGCCCACACCTCAAAAACTAGCGATACTGGGAGCGTCAGGGGTCCGGGTCTAAGTTTAGGTTTTAGGGTTAATAGCGATACAAGGCCTCTAAGGGGCAAGTTTTTCTAGCGATACTAGGGTCTTAAGAGGTCTGTGGTCTCGGTTGAGGGTTTAGGGTTACTAGCGACATAAAAGAACAAGGGGTCCGGGTCTAGGTTTCACTAGCGATACGAAGCTCTTACGGGGTCTGGGGTCCAGGTTTAGGGTTCAGGGTTACACGGGGTCGGGGTCTAGGTTCGGGTTTAATCGGGTTCCCAGTTTAAAA